GCCTGCCTCCTGACTGCCTGAAGGGCGAGCCAGGCCGAGGAGGCTGCTCTTGCCAATGCCAAAGTGTGCCAGGGGCTGGCTGCAGCAGCTGGTGACTGGCGTGGGGAACAGGCTAAGAATAGCCTGTTCCCGAAACCCTGGTTCGGTGCCCGAGTTTCAGGGCCGGTCGTTCTGATGAACAACCGAAAATGGCCCTTCGTTTCAAGCTGAAAAGGCTATTGCCATTTTTAGTCTGAAGAGACACAGGGACTGTAGGCCCCTGTTTTCAGGCTTTCAGGCTGAACAGTTACGGGGCCTGTAGGCCCTGGTTTTCAGGCTTTTAGCCTGAATTTCAGGCTTTCAGCCTAAGGGACGCAGGGCCTGGAAAATGGCCCTAGTGTGCAGGTAACAACCCCTCACATAAATTTCTCTCTCTCTCTCTCTCTCTCCCCTGTCCCTCAGCGCTTGTATCACAGCTTACTCTCTCTCTCTCTCTCTCTCTCTCCCTCTCTCTCTGCCTTCTCTCTCTCTCTCTCTCTCCCCCTCTCTCTCTGCCTTCGCTGCTATGAGGATCATAACCCTGGATACATCCGCCTTCCTACTAGTGCTCTACTACCTACAACTACCACTGCGGCTATGGCCGCCAGTCTTCACAGCTTAGCGCCGCCCAGCGGGGCTCTCTGGCACACAGTCAACCCACGATAGCGCACAAGCAGCCAACAGCGCTTCCACCTTCTCACTACTGAATGGAGCTGAGCCAGTCGTTTTATGTTGACTGGACTGGTCCTTGACTTCACTTGGCCGTGGCTTGACTTGGCCTGGGCCTGACTTTGCATGGTACAGGTCGCCCGCGGCCTGTTTGCAGTTTGGAAATTTGAGGCCCGGTACCTTCCAGACTTTTCTTGGAGCGCTGCTGCATTTGGACTCAGGGACTTGACTTTGAGGCCGGGTACCGGTTGAGTTTTGACCTGTCTGGCCTTTGGGGTACCCGACGCCACCTTTCTCTGTTTCGGCCTCCTCGGCCTCTTTTCGTTGGGGACTTTGACCTTGGAACTCTGATTTGGGGTCTGCAAAGTGAAAATCCTTTCACTCTCACCGGCCTAATTTCGAGGTCCTCCGAGAAAGTTACCAATTTTACCGATCTACTTTGTTGAACACTCCGCATGCCCATTCATAATAGGAAACTAAATGCGGGGCAGCCTCTTTTAGCTCATATTTAGTAAACCAGCGATCTTCTGTAGGTTCTTGGTAAGCAAATCTGACTTTGTACGGTTGCTGGGACCTCCCTCTTCTGCAGCTACGCAGTCTACGTCGTACTTGCCGTCGATGTCTGGAGGTATCATAGATCTTCTTGATGGAAATTGATCGTTAGTCACACAGAAAAGCAACTTAGAGGCATGGAAAACTGGATACGTGTGTCGATGCGACGGAATCTCAGCTGTATAGGAAGGACCATCTACATCCCCATTGACATCAAGAATTCGCCACGGTCCCCTATAGGCAGGTAAAAACTTCTGCGATATATTTTCTTCTGGGAGAAACTCTTTTGACTTCACCCAAACTATCACCTACATCAACTTGCGACGGTCTGCGTGCCGGTTAGCTTGTTCAATCATTTGGTGTTGGGCTTTCATGATATTCTCCCCAACTTGTTGCAAGTCTTCCTCATATTGTACAGCAAACTTTCTTGTACCCAGTGGTACTCTCTGAACTTGATCCATAGTCAGCTTCGACCCATAGACTTTCATTAGCTGTTGCCAGTGGTCGCCTGTAAACCGTGTGTCCCTACAGCCAAGGGATGACCGTAACCTATAACCCAACAATTGAAGAACTCCCTGATTACTAAGTCAGTCTTTGCCTCTGCAGGGAGTGGAATGGAAACAGCAAATTTACTGGATCTATCCACAATCACCATCACTTGACTTTTCCCATTCCTACTCTTTAACTTTGACATATCCATAAAGCCTATTGACACAGAGTCTTCGGGACCTCACGGAATAGGTAATGGTTGCAACAGGCCAAGGGGAGGCTGCGTGGAACCCTTGTTCCTCTGACATACCTTGCAGCCCTGAATGTAAGCTATACAATCATGCTTCATTCCCATCCACGTATAGGATCGAAGGGGATTAGCACAAGTCTTTCTTCAACCGAAATGGCCCTCGGTATCGTGACATTCCCCTAGGATCGGACTGCAAACTGCTTCGTTATTCAGTATGCACAGTCTGTTGCGCACGTCAGTTTTCTCAAACAATGATCCCTGTGTCGTTCTATTCGCACCTCATCAATGAACTTACTATATATTGGATCATTAGCGTAGGCAGTCATAATCTTCTCTTGCAGATCGGTACCAACATCAAGATAAGTCACTACGGCACCAAAGAAATCTGCTCGCCTACTCAAAGCATCAGCGACGACGTTATATTTGCCCTTTACCGGTTTCAGTTTGAAGTCAGACTGATCGATTTCACCAGCCCATCTAGTCAATTTCAGTGACATCCGGGCCTCTGGGTTTTCAACCAGTGAAGTGACTCATGGTCGGAGTAGACTTTGAAATGCTGTCATAGGAGGTAGTGTCGCCAGTGATTCAGTCATTCTCTAAGAGAGAACAACTCGCGGTCATACGTCGAGGCCGCGACTTTTTCACTAGGTAGTCTACAAGACAAACTCTACGGGTCTATAGCCTGCGCCATCATTCTTCTGTTGGAGTACAGCACCAATCCCGTTTTGGCTTGCATCAGTTGTAACTATAAACGGCGACGACGGGTCAGCTATCTTGAGGACCGGATACTCTATCGAGCACCTCTTTAGTCTCTTGAAGGCTGAGGTGCAGTCCTTGCCCCATTTCCAGACTGTCTCCTTCCTCAACAGCCTGTGCAACCGTGAAGTTACGTACGAACTTCCGGAAGCGGAAAAAGGTACCCTCTTTCTGACACAAACAATGCCCAGACGAGGAAAGAACGAGCCAGAAGTCTGAAGAAGATCTATTTCAGTATTTTCCGAAAACAAAAGCAAGGCTGACAAAGGGAAAGGCAGTTTATTTTTGAAAAAGTTGAAAAACAATCGCCAGGACTACCACCTTCACCCAAACACAACACACCCTCATGATGACTACATAGGACCGGCAATGTACCTTGTAGAGACATTCATGATCTGGGTGTGTTATGTGCGAGCAACGGCAGTAGTGGGCTGTGGTGCGAATAGGGTTAGGATGGCCCGTGGGCGGATAGTCATTGCGTGATACTTGCATGAAGTCAACGTTGCCAAAGCACAGAAGAGTGAGTGGTCTATGGTCGACAGACAAGCCTGGGGGATGTCGGCTGAAGGGGAAGAGATTCCAAATAATCCCCCCATGCTGCTCACTCCGAGGACGATAAGGGCAAGAGAAACCAAAATATACCAACTGATGATCAGAGAGAGAGTGAACAAAAAGAAAGAAAAGAGGATAGACTCGCTCAGAACAAACAAACAAAAAAAGAAAACAGTCAAACATAAGAACTATTACGAAGTAGCCAAAGATAAATATTAAATACCATACTGAGAGGAGAAAAGACTGAAGGATCGCCCAGACATAGTTTCCTAAACAGGCAAAATATAAAGAAGGGGGAACTCACCATAGCCTTCCGGTGCTTTGCAGCAAAGAAATCAGCCAGGTTCTTATTCACATCTTGATGCCAAGGAGTTGCACCAATGACTGAATCAGGAAAGACTGCTGTTGCTAAGGCCGTAACCAGTGGGCTATGCCTTAGCGGCTTCCCAATCCATGCACTAAACCCACACCGCTTTATCTCGTCATCCGCTCTTTTGTCGGGTGGCGATTCGGTCAGCAGCAGCAACGGAAGGCCGCATAGCTGTAGCTCCTCATGGATCTGCAACAATGGTGCCACCGTCAACCACTACCCGCATCAGTTCCACTGGTCGGCAACCTGCAAAGAAAGAGAAAATCTTTCTTTTGTTTTTTACGGGGTCCATAACTCCCAATAACCCCACCAACACCCCCATAGCCCGTGGCCCCACCCCCCCCCCCCCCCCCCCCCCCCCCCC